CAGTACTCTTCTCCAACACCACAACTCAAAGGCATCAATTCTTCTTCTATCATCCTTATTTACTGTCTGTCTGTCAAATGCATAGCAAATAATTGAAAAGACAATGGCCTGAATCAGGTGCCCTTTACTCTTCAGATTAACATCATTGCTTTTCAGTAATTTAGAGAGATTCTCGACAGCAGACTTGCCTGATGTAATACATCTCTTGATCTCCTGACTGCTGGTACCAAGGGTGTCCACTGTTGACCTCATCAAGGTGAAATCATTGACCCTTTCAATTCTTTATCCATCTATTATAATGTTGCCTATAGGCCCAGAGGTAAGGACTTTTGTTTTCTTGATATTGAGATGCAATTTTGAATTGAATTGCACATTGAAGGCTGTAGTCCTTGATCTTCTGGAGCAAGCATTTCATGTCCTCCTCACATTCAGCAAACAAGATTGTGTCATTTGCATAATGTGGGTTGATGTCCTCTCGAATGATTTGCTTGGCATACAGATTGAATAGGTTTGTGGAAAGAATACAGTCTTCACACACATCTTTCTTGATTTTTAAACTAGGCAATGTTCCTTTGCTCTGTTCAGACAACTGTTTCTTGGTCTAGGTCTAGGTTTCACATGAGCACTGTTGCTATGAGTGTTCTGGGATTCACGTTCTTCTCACTGTTAGTCATAATTTGTTACAATCCACACAGTCAAATGCCTTTGCATAGTCAATACAATACAAATATATATCCTTCTGGAATTCTCTGCTTTTCACCAGGATCCATCTGACATCAGCAGTGCCTCTGGCTCTTCTAAGTCCTGCTTGAACTTCTGGCAGTTTTCTGTCAATGTACTCTTCCAGTCATTTTTGGATGGTCTTCAGCAAGATTTTACGTATATATGTTATTAATGACATTTTTCAATAATTTCCACATTATATTGGATCACCTTTTTTTGGAGTGGGAATAAGCATTAATTTCTTCCATTGAGTTGGCAGGTGGCTGTCTTCCAACTCTCTTGGCATAGACTGGTGAATACATCCAGGGCTGTATCTATGTGTTAAAAGACTAATTGGTATCACATCAATTCTTAAGGTCTAATATTTTTTTTTTTTGCCATTGTCTTCAGTACAGCTTGAGCTTCTTCCTTCATCACCACTGTTTCTTGATAATAGGCCTCCTGAAATGGTTCTGTGTGAGCCAATCCTTTTGGATACAGTGACTCTAATTTCTCCATCTTCTTTTGGTTTTTCATGGATCATTCAATATTTTACCTATAGCATCCTTCAGTATTGCAACCCAAGACTTGAATTTGGATTTCTGTACAGCTTTAGAAATGTCAAGTGACTTTTTTTTCCATTTTCTGATTCCAACTCGTTTGTATTTCATTACTTTGTTTTCATGAGCATCCTTTTCAATCTTTTGTTCAACACTTTTACATCACCTTTTCCCCCTTCTTTTTTTTATTTTTGCTTCTTGACATTCTAGTACTATTTTCAAAATCTCTCCTGACATTTATTTTTTTGTCTTTTCTTTCTCCCCTGCCTTTGCAATGACCTTTCGTTTTCTTCCATATGATATCGTTGGTGACATCCCATGGATCACCTCGTCTTTGATCATTGGTGTCGATATGCTTACTCTACCTCAAACCTATTCCTGAGATGACTTTTAATTTTCAGAGGGAGAGACTCAAGGTCATACTTCGCTTCTTGTGGACTTGTTTTTTCTTCAGCTTCCAATTAAATTTGCACATGAGTATTGATGGTCTGTGCCACAATCAGCACTTGGCCTGGTTTTGACTGCTGAAATTGAGTTTCCCCAATGGTTGGTTTTGGTTTTTTTTCACAGATGTATTCAATCTGATTCCTGTGTAGTTCATCAGGAGAGGGCCATGTGTATAGTCACTTTTTGGTGTTTTAAAGAAGGTATTTGGAATGAATAAATTATTAATTGTACAAAATTCAATCATTCAATCTCTAGCTTAGTTTCTGTCACCAAGTCTGTACTTTCCAACTACCAGTCTTTGTTTCCAACTTTTGCATTCCAGTCTCCAATTAGTATTAATTTGTCAGCAAAAGACAGGAAAATCTTCAACAAGATGGACTGACACTGACTGTAACAATGGGCTCAAGCGTATCAGAGATGGTGATGATTGGACAAGGTTCGAATCCATTGTTCATGGGTCAGTATAAGTAAAAACTGACTCTATAGAAGATTTTTCGGAGTCAGCAAGTTAAATGGAGGGAGATTGCCCATCTTCCTCTTGGGAGAAGTTGGTGGAATCAAACTGCCCATCTTTGGGTTTGCAGTACAACTTCTTATACAATAGGCCACTAGAGCTCCCTTACTATGCACACATACAGATATTTTTAATGTTTAATTAATCCATGGCTATCAATACATTTAGGTTGTTTTTATTCTTTTGTTACAAAATAGAATCAATCCACAATGCATCACCTTGTACATCTGAATTTATTTTATTTTATTTTTATGTAGGAAGAATTTCAAGAAGTGGACCGCAACGTCAATGGATTTGAGAACTATAAATCTTGTTACTAAGTGTTGAGTTAGAACCAATTCATAGCTGACCCTCCAGCGTTTTCAGAGGAAGTAAGCCCATCTGTTCCCTGAGGAGCAGCTGATGGATCTGAACTGAGTGCCTTTAGGCTGGTAGTGCAGCTCCTTACCACTTGGCCACTGGAACTCATGGCCAAATTGTTCCCCATAAAGAATGTCCACTTTTATACCAACAAGCAATGCATGAAAATACATTTCCCCACATTTCTGCCATGACAATGTGCTATCAAGCTTTATAACAACTCTATTTAATAAAGCTAGATCTTTAAATGTTAGCTTTAAACTCTGTGTGTGTGTGTGTGTGTGTGTGTGTCTTTAAACAAAATCATGATTGTCTCCTGAGTTGAAAATCATTGCTGGTATCCTCGGATGTTTACAATGTCAGGTCATAGAAAGTAATTTTTGTTTCTCTCCAAGAAAATTTAAGGAAAAGGTTAGAAAAATAGCATCTGGCTGCTTAATTAATTACATTAATTGATTAATAACATTTTTCTTTTATGGGGTGGTCTACAGTGTTCAGATACTTGTAAACATAATGCTGATTTTGGTCAATGAATACATCCTGTGCTTTCACAAATTTAACGTTTAGCCTATAAGCAAAAGCTTCATGAACATGTATTGCAGATTTGATGTTTTGGGTAGGATTTATGAGTACTGAATATATCCCATGGATTGCCAAAAGAAAAAACAGGTAAGTCAGTCTTGGAGAAAGTGTGGCCAGAGTACTCCTGCAAGAATGGAAAAACTTCGGCTCACATACTTTGGGCATGTTGTTAGGAGGGGTTTTAATTGGAAAGTGGTATCATGTTTGCAAAGATGGAGGATCAGAAAAAGAGAGGAAGATCTTCAGTGGCATGGATTGGCGCAATGACTGAAGCAAAGAGCTCAAGTATCTATCCTGAGATGATGAGGATGGCGCAGGACAGGACAGGGTTCAAATCTGTTGTTTATAGGGTCGCTGTGAGTCATACTCAACTCAATGACACATAACAGCAGCAACAAACTATAAGGAAGGACACACAATATAGAGGTCAAAGAATTGATCTCTAGAGACAGACTATATGGCTTTGAAACTTATCTCTATATCACTTTTAGTTATCTGATCCAAGGCTAATTATGTAACTTCAGTCTTAGTTTTTGAAATCTGCCTCTTAATGTTGTTGAAAGGACTGGGATTATATCTGTGCAACTCTTTTTTGTGCACTACTTGAAATATAGTTGGCATTCAATAAGTGTATCTGTAATTATTCTGACCTTAGTTTTAGAATTTTTAAAGTGTATGGAATAAACTATAACTAAGCCTCAACATTTTCCCCTAGAGTTTAAATGTGTACCATTAAGTAACATGTTTAATACTCATTCATTCTGTTCTTTCCTACCAAACTAATGACAAAAAGATGAGTTATCAAACAGTCCGGTAATTCCAGGAAAACAGAGACGGAGGCCTTGGCAACACTTGTGAGTCAGTTCTGGATGATGAGCCTAGAGGAAGAGGAAAGGGCCATTGAGTGACAGGCTATCCATTGCTTTGGGCAAGTCTGTTGTTAGGGACCTCTCCAAAATACTAAAGAGTAATGATGTCAATATGAAGACTAAGGAGGAACTGATTCAGGCTATGGTCTTTTCAATTACTTGCCACACATCTGAGAGCTGGACAATCAATAAGGATGACAGAAGAATGGATGCCTTTGAATTGTGGTGCTGGAGAAGAGTGCTGAAATATCCTATGGACTGAAAAAGGAACAGATAAGTCTTGGAAAAGTGGTAGCTAGGGTGCACCTTGGAGGCAAAGATGGCCAAGCTTCATCTCTCATACTTCGGACATGTTGCCATGAGAGACTATTCTTGAAAAGGATATCATGGTTGGGAGGGTGCAAGATGAGCGAAAGAGAGGAAGACTTCTATTGAGATGGATTGACTCGGTGATTGCAGCAATGGGCTCAAGTGTATCAGAGATGGTGAGGATGGCACAGGACAGCTCAGGGTTCAGATCTGTTGTTTATACAACAATTAACAGATCTAGCTAGGGAACTCTGAACTCTGGTGGCTTAGCTGTAAGAAACTGCTGCAATCTAAAAGGCAGACAGTTCGAATCCACCAGCTGCTCTGCTGGAGAAGGATGGGCAGTCTCCTTCCGTGCGGTTCACTGCCTCTGAAAACCCATTGGAGGGTCAGGTAAGGTTCGATTCCGACTCGATGGCAAACAACAACAAATCCAGCGAAAACCCCAGCACCCAGGAGGATGTAGAGTCGCGGTCACCCGAGCAACCGGCTCTTCCGCTTTCCGTTTCCCCGCCCCCGCTTCCGGTTTCGATTGCTTCATCGCTGGGCGACGAGTTATGGGTTTCCGGGAAGGGCCCTGGGAGCGGCGAGTCCGGTGTCGGGTGGAGAGGGGTTTGCTGGGTCGGCGTTGCCTGCTGTACCCGGGACTTTGCAGTCATGGAGAGCGGAGGGCGGCCCTCGCTGTGCCAGTTCATCCTCTTGGGCACCAGCTCCGTCGTCACCGCCGTCCTGTATTCCATATATCGGCAGAAGGCCCAGGTCGCCCAAGAACTCAAGGTCAGTGCTGGGGCCGGACTGGCCTCAGCGAGGGCTTCCCTGCGCCCGGTAATGATCACCTTACGGTCCGCCGGGGGCCACTCCGCAGCTAGAGGTTACGGGAGAGGAAAAAAACTCTACGAGGGTGTCACCTGCCTGTAAATGGAGAAGCTAGGATCGGAATTCAGGTCTCGGGAGAACTATTTCGTGCCCTCTTAAGTTTCTACTCGTTACTTAGAATGAATACTTTATTAATCTTGACGTCCTTAATTTATCCAGCAAACATTTGTTGAATGTCTCATACTCAAGTATTTCCCGGGATTTTAGGCTATAGCAGTGAGTGTTAGTCCAGCGACCTCTGACTTAGCGACAGCAGATCAGAAACGTGCCCTTGGCTGTGCCGTCCTCGCTATCGGTGGTCTACTTAAGCTACTACTGCTGTCACTATGTCATTTCATCTCCTTGAGGGTCTTCCTCATTTGACCCTGCGCTTTTCCAAGCATGACGTCCATCTTTAGGGACTGGCCGCCATGGTATAATTAATGTTCACAGTTTGTGTAGGATGAAGTCACTATCCTTACTTCAGAGATAGACTGTTGTTTCGGCTGTCTATGGCGTACATTCACTACTCTTCACCAGTACTACAACTTAAAATGTTGTTTACATTAGCCTAGTATCCAGGAAAAGATACAGGAGTGGGCTGTGTGCAGAGACTTTTGGACTTAGCCCCTCAACTCCTTACTACTTCACATTTTTCCTCTTAATAGCTGTTTTTGTTTTTTTTTTTAAAGTAATAGCCTTGCAATGACATTTTACAATTTATGAAACATTTCCTTCTTGATTTTAATTGAGTAATTCCTTGAGTTAGATACTCTGACGCTCCTCTCCAGATTGCAAGTCGAAGGTCAGAGGAAAGGGCTTAGAGCTAGTCAGCCTAGAAGTGAAATTTGTTAGGCGGTTGACTTCCATGTCACAGTGAACTCTGCCCCATTCTTCACTGTCTTCACAGTCCCTGCTGTGTTTAAGCCTACGGTTTGACTCATTGTGTCAGTCCAGCTCATGAAGGATCTTCCTCTCTTTGTCTGACCCTCTGCTTTTCAAAGTATGATGGCCTACAGGAAGTGGCCCGTCCTGATAACTCGTCTAAAGTGTGAGATAGAGTCTTGTCATCCTCATTCCTAAGGAGCCCTCTGATGACACTTTTAAGACAACTTAAACTTAGATCTTATTCCAGATGTAGAATTTACCCCCTAATTGACTATGGTACTTACTGTGGTACATATCCTTTATGACTGATTCATGAGAAAGGGGCTTGTTTAAATCGGGGCAGAATCTTACTTGTCCTTCTTCTAGAGTCTAATGTAGTGCTTGACAAGTGATTGATGCTCCAACAATGTTTGTGGATTCATTTTGGCTGACATCTTCACAGGACAAAAAAATTAAGGACCTAATTGATATTTACATGAACAGTAAAGTCCTAAACCTAACTAATTCTATTACCATCACACTGTTTTCAGTAAGGACTTAGGGACAAATGTATGAAGTTCCTTATGTGAGAGGAGTTTTAGAAGCCATCAAGAATGAACTAAGTTCCCAGGCTTTTGGGTTTATGGTCCAGATGGCATCTGAGGGAGATTACAACTGCCCCCTCACCTGCCAAATTAAATAACGAAGTGACTGGTTATGAATGTAGCTGATACTCATTTTCTAACTCTGAAGTCAGTTTGCCATGAAGTTGGTTGAGTATGAGATTCTTTGAAGTGGTGAACTCTTCAGGGCTCATCTTTGGATAATTGTAAAAATCTTGCCAGTTAATAACAAAATGAAGATGAACTAGCCCTCTTTTGGAAAAAGAATTAGGATTTTATCTTCTTGACCAAATCACAGAACTGCTGGAGAAAGATTTGTGTTTTATCCTTGTACATTTCCTGAAGTGATGCAGATTTATTTTTGTGCCACCCTTTGGGTCAAACTCTCATATAATCTACATAAAACCCCATAAGAACTTGGTTTCCCTCTTTTACAATTCTACAAACAGACTGGTTCATTAGGTTGCCTTGAGTCACAAAGCTTGATTCAAAGTAAGGCTTTCTAACCACATTATCTTTACCTCTTTTTAGAAATCCCTTGGTGAATACTTTACTAGCTGTGTGGCTCTGGGCTAATCACTATTCCTCAGTTTAAGATAACCATACTTCCTAACTTACAGGAATGTTAGGGATCATAGTTCCTACCTTTAGACATGTTAGCAGCAAAGAAAGCATTTAAAGTGCTTAGTATACTGCCAGATGTATAGTATATCTTAGTGCTCCCCCCCATAACATTTATCAAACATTTATTAATTGCCCACTGTGTGTATGTACAGCAGAGATTGTGAGGATGGCCCAGGATTGGGCAGTATATCAGGTCACTAAGTGTAGAAGCTGACTTGATGCCTGACAGACCACGTCATCATCCTCTGAGGTCATGTTCTCAGCCTAAAGAGTATGCCATGAACACGGTAAAACAAAGACCTAGCCCTCTTAAGTTCAGTGGAGGGAGGAAGATAATAAATTGTGTTAGTTGCTGTTATTGTTGTTAACTTTTAATGTTGTTGTTAGGTGCCATCAAATCTCTCCTATGACTTAATAGGCCTCATGAACAGCAGCTCTGAACCTTACCCTATCCTGTGTCATCTTTGCCACCTTTGACATGCTCAAACCCTTTGTTATAATCAGTTCATCTGTTGAAAGGCTTCCTCTTTGGTTAGTATCTTTTTATTGGCTTTGTTTCTGTCATTTACTGTATAACAGTAACATGTCTTTAGATGCATAGAGACCCAGGCAACAAAGTAGAACAGTTTCATTTTATTTTCTTGGGTGTAATCTTTATAGAAACAAAACTAGGCCTTCCTCCTGTGGATAGGTTTGGACCCTAACCTTTGACTAGCAGTCAAGCACTTAACTGTTGTACTACCCACCAAGCCTCTTAACTTTAAAAAACAAAAACTATCACATCAGTTCTGACTCATAATGACCCTGTAGGATGGAGCAGAACTGCCCCATAGGGTGAATTCAGTGAATTGTCTCACCTGTCTCATACAGAGCAGCTAGTGTTTTTAAATCCGCCACCTTTTGGCTAGCAGTGCACCTCTGATCCCAGGGCTCCACCAGGGCTCCGACATTAAAATTAGAGTAACCTAAAGCTTGTATTCAGTGCCTCATCACATTTTTAGAGGTTTCTTCTCTAACTTTCTTAGACTTTTTAAATGAGAAGATGGGGAAGACATTCTATCCTTTATTTGTCCCTGAATCCCTAGGTCATAGGTGCTCAGGAAATAGGTGTTGATTTTATTCTTTGATTGTCTTGTTTCTAAAGTGGAAACTATAGATTATTCACTCAGCTCACTGTCCTCGAGTTGGAACTGACACATAGCTGACCCTTCAGTGGATTTTCTGGAGGCTGTAAATTGCACAGGAAAAGATTGCCCATCTTTCTCTTGAAGAACTGATGGTGGATTTGAACCTGCAGGGAGGTACTACCTTTCGGTTAACAGCTCACCTATCTACAAACTATAACACCAGAGCTTCATGTGAATAATCAGGGGTAGGGAAAGAAGGCTTGTTAGAGAAAACAGCAGCAGTCAACCTTATTCAGTTGATTATAAGCAGGAAGAAAGACAAATGAACTTCTGCATTATCAGCCAAAGAATTTTGTCAGGCGCCAGTTACAGGGACTTATCAAAGCAGAGATACCGTTCTAGTAATAATAAGCCCAGTGCTGTAGAGCCACTTCCTACTCATATCAACCCTCCATTGGATGTCTCAGCTTATAAATCTTAAAAGAAAAGGAATGCCTTTCTTTTTCCCTTGGGGCAGCTGGTGGATTCAAATCTTCAGTCTTTTGGTTAACAGTGCACTGTGCTTCTCGCTGTACCACTAGTGCTTCTGCAGAACATTTGCTCATAAAAGTGGTGGGATAATAATAACTATCTTTTCTCATTTCCAGCCATGTTCTGTGTGCTAAATTAGATGCTTTGTTCATAAATCCTTTGGATCTTTCTTATCAAGAAGAGATGAAATGCGGTTCAGTCTGTAGTGTGAATTGATTCACACCTTTCATATAGCCACTTAGGAAAAAAAATGTTAGGATTCTAAGACTGGTTAGCTGGAGAAAGGATGGATGCACTGTCATTCTCCTGGGATGCCAGAGAGCTGGGTCCTTACCACCTGCCTGTTTGCCCTTTAACACTTGGTAGATAGAGATATGGAGTCTCAGTCTCTAGAGACTCCTTCCTGCTCAGTTTCTTAGTTTTTCTCATCGTCAACAAAATCAGCAGTTTTTTTTCTTTTTACTTTTTAAGTTTGATAGAGTATGACAGTATTTACTAGCTAACTTAATATGCTGCTTGCATTTAGGGAGCTAAAAAAATCCACTTAGGTGAAGATCTGAAGAGTATTCTTTTGGAAGCACCGGGAAAATGTGTGCCTTATGCTGTTATTGAAGGTATGTTTATTTGTTGGCAAAATAAAAACCTATATCTTTTTGTAAACGTTAAATAAAGATCTACTTGACTGATATTAAGGGTCTTTTGTGAGAGTAGGGCAGTGATCCATGCATGTATAGACTTTTGGGGGTCAGAAAGACTGTATTGCTCTATGGTCTTAGAAAAATTACCAAACTTTTTTTATTTGCTCATATTCTGTTGCTAAAATAATACATAATACCTTCCTTACAGAGTTGTAAGGTCTTAAACGCTGTGATCCAGGTAAAGTGCTCAGCATTGTGCACCTTTGTATGTACCTTATGGTGGTAAAAATGTCATCATTTTATTAATTTAACTCATTGCTTTTGAGTCAGATCCAACTCTTAGCTGACCCTCCCGCAGGTTTTCAGAGACTGTAAACTGCATGGGAAGGAACAGCGGGTGGATTCAAACCACCTGCCTTTGGGTTGGGAGTGCACTTCCCTACCTACTAAAATAAAAATATAAGTAGCCTTAAAGAGAGGGCAGCAGTGGCAAAGTTTAATGGGACAGTAAGTAATAAATGTTGGAAAGGATGTGGTGAGTTAGGAACTCTTAATATACTCTTGGTGGGATTATAAAATGGTACATCCACTCCAAAAGCAATTTGGTGCTTCCTCAAAAAGATGAACATAGAAATTCCATATGACCCAGCTATTCTACTGCTTGGCATATACCCCAAGAGAATGAGAATTGAGGTACAAACAGACACTTCAGACACTTGTACACCAGTGTTCGTAGTAGTGTTATTCGCCGTCACAAGAACATGGAAACAGCCCAAATGTCCAACCACAATCAAATTGAGATATTACGGTACATTCAGACAATGGAATACACACAGGAGCAGTGATTTTGTAAATTGGTACCTAACTTGGAAGGGACTGGAAAGCATTATGCTGAGTGAACTAACTTCAGTCCCATAAGGACAAGTAACCGTTTAATACCATTAGTGTAGAATGAGTATGAGGATCCAGGGTGGGAATGGTGAGTATGGAGAGTGGTTAATCTTAGTTTTGCACAATTTGATGGGTTGGAGGGTGGGTGAAGGAAAATGGGAAAGATCAGGTGTGAAAAACAATGTATGCAAACTTTGTAGATAAACCAGTTTAAAAGTGAAAAAAAAAAAGGCAGAGGGCTTTTTCAGAAATGACAGTTTGTTTCCACTTAGGAGCTGTGCGATCTGTTAAAGAAACACTCAACAGCCAGTTTGTGGAGAATTGCAAGGGGGTAATTCAGCGTCTGACACTTCAGGAGCACAAGATGGTTTGGAATCGAACAACCAACCTTTGGTAAGTGTTCTTTCTCCACTGGCCACAAAATTCACAGCTTGTCTGTTCAAATGCTGGTTTCTTGGTCTTCAACTTCATGCAGGTTGTAGACCTGTCCCACCCTGCTGATAATATCCTTGGAGTATGGTCGGTATCAGAATCACCCAGGTGTTACATTGAAATGCATGTAACTGGACTCCAGGCCAGAATCTGTAAATTTTTAGCATAGGGGACCAAACATCTATATTTAATAATGTCTGTTGATTATGCATGGCATAGTTTGAGAACCATACTTTTTGGCTTGATTGGAATAATTTTCTGCTATTTCAGGAAGTAAAATTTTTTCCAGCAGATCTTGATGGTTTTGCTTTGGTTGGTTATTTTGTAGTCAGAAAGGGAAATAAATGTACAAGCCATTTATGATAGGATTTTTTGTCTCACTGATAACATCTGAGGTCCTAAAACATTGAAATTCCCTATTATAAGGCAAAGTAGTATACTGAAATGTGCAAAGAGCTAGAGTTATAAAACCAAAATGGAAGAACACACTCGGCAATTCTCAAGCTCATAGAACTGAGGAACAAAATCAAGCCTCAAGTTGCAATACTGAAGGATTCTCTGGGCAACTCTTGAATGGTGCAAAGAAGCGTCAAAAGAAGATAGAGGGAATATACAGAATATTCCAAAATGAATTTGTTGATGCTGAACCATTTCAGGAAGTACTGTATGATCACAAACCAATATACTGCAGGAAAAAGTCCAGGCTACACTGAAGGCAGTGGCAAAAAATAAGACTCCAGAAATTCATGGACTACCAGTTGAGGTATTTTAGGAAATAGATGCAGCTCACCAGTCTGTGCTAAGAAATTTTGAAGGCAGCTACCTGTCTAACTAGTTGGAAAACAATCATATTTGTTCCCATTCCAAAATACAGTGATCCAGTAGAGTATGGAAATTATTGAATCATTAATATCATATGAAACTAAAATCTTGCTGAAGATTATTAAAAAACAGCTATGACAGTACATACAGTAAACTGCTAGAAATTCAAGCTATATTCAGGAAAGGCCGTTTAATTGAGGGATATTCTTGCTGATTTCCGATGGATCCTGACTGAAAGCAGAGAATACAAAAACGATAGTTACTTCTGATTTTTTTATTATTATGCAAAGGCATTTAGCTGTAGATCGTAAAAAAATTATGGCTAACATTTAAAGAAATGGGAAATCCAAAACACTTAATTGTGCTTGTGTTAAAACCTTTATGTAGACCAAGAAGCAGTTTGGAAACATTTGTATGATTTGAAAGAAGGAAAGGTGTGTGTCAGGGTTGTATCCTTTTTCCATACCTGTTCAGTCTGTATGCTGAGCAAATCATTTGAGAAGCTAGACTATATGTAGAAGATTATGACACCAGGATTGGAGGAAGATTCATCAACAACCTGTGTTACGCCCATGAGAGCCTTGCTTGGAGAAAGTGAAAACTTGAAACTCTTCTTTCAGAAGATCAGAGATTACAGCCTTCACTGTGGATTACACGTCAATATCAAGAATAAAAAAAAATTCTTACCACTGAACCAATAGGCAATATCCTGATAGATGGAAAAGAGACTGAAATTGTCAAGGGTTTAATTTTACTTTAATGAACACCCAAGATAACAATATTCAAGAAATCAAAACACATGTTGGATTGGGAAAATCTGCTGTCAAGAACCTCACCATTGATGTCTGTTTAAAGATTAAGATGCACCTGATCCAAGTCGTGATGTTGTCAGTTTCTTCCTGTGCATCTGAAAATTGAACAATGAGTAAGGAAAATGGAAGAAGAATCTGTGCTGTGGTATTGGTGAAGACTATTGAATAGACCATGAACTGCCAAAAGAAAAATCTGTCTTGGAGGAAATGCAACCAGAGGCAAGAATGATGAAACTTTGTCATACGTTCTTTGGTCATATTGTTCATAGGGTCCTCACAGTGTCTTGCTGGGAAAGGTAGAGAGGCTCAGGGAGAGAGAAGAAGACTCTCAATGAGATGGACACAGTGGCTTTAGCAGTGGAGTCCAGCCTTTTGGAAACTGTGACGATGGTGCAGGATGGGGCAGGGTTGTTCACAGGGTCCCTGTGGATCATAACTGCCTACATGGCATATGATGATTTTGTGTGTGTATGTTAACTAATTTGAACTTTATTTTGTCCTAGTGACATCTAAGTGATCTCATCTTTGCCTGGATGCTTGGTGTTTGCAGTCTTTTGTTTTATCTACGCTTTCTCTGTCATTCTATTAGGAATGATTATTCAAAGATCATCCATCAGAGAACCAACACGGTGCCATTTGACCTAGTGCCCCACGAGGATGGTGTGGACGTGGCTGTCCGAGTGCTGAAGCCTCTGGATTCAGTGGATCTGGGCCTGGAGACTGTGTATGAGAAGTTTCACCCCTCGATCCAGTCCTTCACGGATGTTATAGGCCACTACATCAGTGGTGAGCGGCCCAAAGGCATCCAGGAGACAGAGGAAATGTTGAAGGTCGGGGCCACCCTCACAGGGGTGGGGGAATTGGTCCTGGACAGCAACTCAGTTCGCCTCCAGCCCCCCAAGCAGGGCATGCAGTACTACCTGAGCAACCAGGACTTTGACACCTTGCTGCAGAGGCAAGAGTCGAGTGTCAGACTCTGGAAGGTCCTGACGCTCGTATTTGGCTTTGCCGCCTGTGCCACCCTCTTCTTCATTCTCCGCAAGCAGTATCTGCAGCGGCAGGAACGGCTGCGCCTCAAGCAGATGCAGGAGGAGTTCCGAGAACATGAGGCCCAGCTGCTGAGCGGGGCCATGCCCGACGACAGGGAGAGTCTGAAGAGTGCCTGTGTCGTGTGTCTGAGCAACTTCAAGTCCTGTGTCTTCCTGGAGTGTGGGCATGTCTGTTCCTGCTCTGAGTGCTACCATGCTTTGCCTGAACCCAAGAGCTGCCCCATTTGCAGACAGAGGATCACCCGTGTGGTTCCTTTGTACAATAGCTAAGTGTCCTGAAGCCATATGGTCAGATCTGGAAGTAACTCTCTTCCAGGAATTCTTACCTGGAGACCTTTAAGGAGTGACTGAGACTAGGGAGGCAAAGAGGGAGGGAAACTGCCAGACTCCACACATCCAGCTATAGGAATGACCTTTCCCATCCTGAGGGAGGACCTTTCCACACAAGCATAGGAGCTGCAGACCCACGCTGGATGGGTGTGGTGGCCTGGTGCCCTTCCCAGAAACCATGTAAACGCACCTGTGATTGGAATTGCCTCAGCTTTTAAATACTGAAGCCAGTGGTCTTTAGATCCCTTGTCCTGAGTCTGGTCCTTTCTGGTGAACTGTCTCTGTGTTCGTGGAGTAGGACTCAGGCTGGGCCCAGATTTGCATGACTTGGCCCAGAAGGGAGGGGAACTTGGCATCTCAGGGTAGTGTGTGCTTGGGAGCAGCCTCTGAAGACACTCTGTCTTCAGTTTTTCTTAGTTTTGCCTAAGGAGAAAGCCTTTTTTCACAAATTTCCTGGTGAGACATGAGTTGCATCCCTTCCCCATCACCTGCTTGCCCTTAAGCGTGTGCTTGTGTGTGTAGAGGAAAAAAAGAATGTGAGACAGAGCACGTCTGCCTTCTGCCCAAGGGGATGCCGGGCCAGTCAGCAGGGTGAGATGCAGTCACTAGGAGGCATTGGGACAGATAGTCAGCAATGCTGGCGCCAGAGGCCAGCTTGGCTGCAGCCTCTTGATGTCTGCCGACTAAGGGACTGACCTCAGACACATCTCTGACCTGGATTTGGCATTTACTTAGAGCTTTAGGGTGCCAAGGACTGGCCTGAGGATTAGCTACAAAGACCTTACCACCCACAGGAAGCTGTCTGGGTGTGGCTCCCCTCACAGTTGCTTTTCACCACTTCTTTCCAGCACCACCACCAAAGTAAGTAGCCAGCCCTAAGAGCCTTCTCCAGGCTCCTACTGGCCCCACCTCACTGCAGAGTTAACATCCCATGGGTGTGACCTCACATCCCTGCATGGTGGGAAATCTCACTACCTCGAAGTGGTCAGAGGCCACGCGGTGCACCGTTCCTTTATTGCCATCCCCATCTTTAAATATTCATCCCATGGTCCTCCTCTGTGTGTGGGAAGATGGGGTGCTCTCGGGACTGCACCAAAACTATGAACTGTCCAGTGTGGACAGCACAAATAAACTCCACCAAACCTAGTGTCGGCCTATCGCTTTGTTAACAAGAGTTAAAATAGCTAGGCTTATGCCCTCTGGGCAGAACCGAGTCCCTAAACATGATGGAGTGAAGGTTTGTGCTCTGGGGGCTGTTATACTTCTCATCTACTCAGTCATTTTGGCTCTCCCTCAGATTTTAACTGAGGTGGGGGGCTCGTCACCATGTGAGATTGGCCTTCTAGTAGTCATCTTTGAAGAAGTCTGTCCTGAATTCCTAAATCCCAGGGTGGTGACATTTCACCTGTTGAGAGAATGAGGTGGGATGAGGGACCAACACAGGGAAAGCTAGTGAGTACCGCTGCATACCAGGTCGGTTATTTCAGATTTTGAGGCAGTCCTCATGCGGACCCTATGGGCCAAGTCATGTTTCCAGGTATGGGGGAGGAAAGACTGGGTAAGTTAGGCTGACATAGCTCTACACCACTTTCAAAGCTGCACATTCCCTGTTCACGAGTCCCCCTGTGGGAAGTGGATAACCCACACAAGGCTCAGTCCGCAGGTAAGTGGGTGGGCACTGGGGCCATACTTTGAAAGAATAAACAACACTTGGGTTTACCCACTAGGTCGAGTCCTGTCCATTGACCTGGTAAACCAAACCAGTTCAAGTATATTTCCAAGGAAGGTGATCCTGTGTTTCACAGTGGGAGTAATCACGTTTTCAGTAGCTGCCATCCTTCAGAAGTAGGCCATTAAGCTTTTCTTCATATAGTGCTGCTATGTGCTGTTAAGTTGCCTGCCACTCAGTGACCCTATGTACAACAGCCCTAAACCCTGCTATCCTGTGCCCATCTCATTGTCTCTGCCACACCTACCCCATTACCCTAGTCAGTGAATCCATCTCATGAAGGATCTTCCTCTTTTAGGCTGTCCCTCCACACTTACAAGTAAGAACTGGTTCCTCCTTGCAACATGTCCAAAGTATGTCAGAGGAAACTTCAGAATCCTTGCCTCCAAGGAGCAGCCGGGTTTCCCCTCTTCTAGGATGAACCTGTTTGTTCTAGCAGTCCATGGTCTATTCAATACTCTTTTCCAGCACCACAATTTAAAGGCATCCATTATCCTTTCCACAGATGTAATCGATCTGATTACATATCGCTGGAGAAGTTCAATATCGGCTGTGAAAACTAGGCCAGGAGCTGATTGTGGAACAGACCACCAACTACTCATATGCAAATTCAAGCTAAAGCTGAGGAAA